TGCTACCCTTACTCTCTGGTGCTCAAGAGGTAGAAGAGGCTGGCTCACTGCTGCCAACTAGTGGTCAGAGGCTGAACTACAACATAAAAATGAACGGCTGTCAGGAAAGTTGACATTTTAAACCTTAATAAAAAATCGATACAGGGCTTTAGAATATCGATACAGTATCGGGAAATGAAATATCGCGATATTTCAGTGTATCGATATTTTCTTACACCCCTACTACAAAGTGACTAATACCATTGTTTCATAATACTTCCTGTTTTTGTGAGCGTAGTCTTTCCTCTTGTATCGCTGCCTTAAATGACAACACACAGTTAATCAAATTAAAATACTTGATTTCGATGCATGGGAGCTTTTTTCTTTTAGGTTCCTCATCATTTACCTGTAGCTAATGTTTGGAGAAAACTATCAAGATAGTTTTAATTCTTTACCGTTATAGTTTGAATCATTTGATGATCTAATATCGTGGAAAAATGCTCAGTTGGATGTGTTTTAGTAACTTGTTTTATTTGTAAATTTGAATAATTGAAGTTGTTATGGCAATATTCATTTAACAAATACAGAAATACGTGGTCCAAGAATGAAGGCACTCTGCATAAGGTGCTAATGAAAATATTAGCTCACTGTGCTTCTGCCAACAGACAGGTTCTTTTTTCAGCTCCAGTCCCAAAAGATCACCCACAGCGGCCGAAGTAATGACAGATCACAAGACCCGGACACGATCAGCAGACAAAAACAGGTCAGCTTTGTCAGCCTCCATCTTCCGGTGGATCTCCGAGACGACCAGCTGCGGGCATTCTTCCGGTCCTTGGAGCTGCCCTTCGACAACGCCAATTTCTGTCGTCGCATGATTTGCCAAGAATGCAGAAACACGTTGGAATAATGCACAGAAAGTCTGCGTGTATGGTGGTCAATAATGATTTAATTCTGAGCCACAAGCAAACAGGACTCAATCAGGAAGCTCTGTTGGCTCGTCGCTGACACATCAGCGGACACAGCCAATAATATACAC